AGGCCCAGTACAGAGAAAAGGAAGTGAGATCATTTCCCAGAACTGTCATATGTAAACCTTTCATTCATCCCTTACACACTGAGTGCTGGCTCTGAGTCAGACCCTGATGTCTAAACACGTGTTTGACCACGAGTCTGCTTCTGCCCCAGACTAGGCGAGGTGGCCCACGGAGCCCCAGGCCCTTCTGCTAGAAGCTCATCCTCTTTCTTCAGCCCTTCCAGCAGTTTCGGAAATACTGACATTGTTTCCCCACTGACGTGTCGGGAGCGATGCGGTCTCAGGCCCCGTCTCCTTTTCTGAGCTCGTGTGGCTGCCCTAGGCAGTTAGTGCCATAGTCTCATGCCTTCCTCCAGAAATGAAACTGAGACTGGGTTTTAGGTTTTCAGTCCTCTGGTTGCCAAGGTCAGAGAGAGACAGTGTGTACCAAACGGGAAACTATGTGGGTGTGGAAAAGAAGGGGAGACGGTGAGGGAGAGTTTCATCTGAAGAAAAGGGGAATTCCTTTTAGAATCCAGGAAAGACTCCGTTGCTAGTTCGGTCTGTATGGTTTGAAACAAGGGCAGGGTTCAGTGATGGGATGTTGATCAGTCAGGATTGGGTATTTGAAAAGCAGGAAGGATTGGTGCTTGGATAGCTCTGTGCCTCTCTCGGGAGTGAGGAGAAAGAGACTCTGTGGGAGAGGTAAGTGGAGTGCTGGATGGAGTCCCCAAAGGTGTCTTGGCTGTTGATGGCCGTGACTAGAGTCTTTTTTCTGAGCTTGAAAGACTTTGGTCTGGAATGTGGCTCCGTTGGGAGAGAGCTTGTCTAGCATGCATGAAGCCCTGGGTTCAGTCACCGGCACTGCTTAAAACCAGGCTTGGTGCTGGACCTAGTGGCGCACGCCTTTAATGCCAGCACTTGGGAGGGAGAGGCAGGCAGATCTCTGTGTGTTCAAGGACAGCCTGGTCTATGTAGTGAGATCTAGGACAGAACTATAGAGTGAGATCCAGTCTCAAAACAAACAACAACAACAACAACAACCCCCCACCAAAACAAACAACAAACAAACAAAGCAAAACCAGGTGTATTGGTATGACCCTGTAAGCCAGTACTTGGGAGGTTCAAAGATATCCTTTACAAAATAGCATGTTCAAGGCCAGCCTGGGCTACATGAGGCTCTTGTTTCAAAAGAAATAAAACAAAAGACTCCTACAGCTACCCCAAAGCCCTCTATATCGTTTGCACCAGTAAAATCTGTCCTTTCGGATAACTTTGGGAAGGCTCTAGGCATTCTTGTTCTAAGGCCTAGCCATCTATGTATACACGGAGGAAGTTCTGGAAGCATTTTAAATGTTGGGAGCTAAGTTTCTCCAGGTCCTTTGGAAGGGCAGACAGTGCTCTTAACCTCGGAGCCATCTCTCCAGCCCCAGGAGCTAATATTTTTATTATACTGAATCTTCCTACTCATGAATAAAGTATGGCTCTCCATTTATCTGGGTCGTTAGTAATATGCCTTTTTAATAATTCATGTTTTCTTCCATTAAGGTCTTGCATAGCTTGGGTCATTCCTCCATGTTACCTGTGTGATGTGATAACATATGGTAAACTTGAAATGATTAGCACTGAAGTTTTCATCTGAATTTCTCACATCAGCTGTGTATTTGAGCAGGTTATTTTGGTCATATTCTGCCTCTCTGTGTACACTGTAGCTAGAGTTTTGTTTTGTTTGTTTGTTTGTTTGTTTGTTTTTTCAGATTAATCAGCACCTTGTTTTAGTTGAGACGTGGATGACTTCTCACTGTACTGGGACTCTCATGGTAGGCAAGTCTGGCTGGCCAGTGAGCCCAGGCACATCCCTGTCTCTGTGTCCTTGGCACTGGGATTACAAGTGTGCAACCCCACAGAAGGCAAAGCCTCATAGAAGGGAGGTCATATACCTCACCTCTCAGTCTCTGGCCATGGTGCAATTAAGTTAGAAAACACTAATAAGTCTCAAAACGACTTAGGAAGTTTGGAACCTGAAATTTGAGGAGGTTTCTTGGACACAGTGCTGTGGTCATGGGAGGTTGCATTGTTCTTGATCTCAGGGAGATGGGAGATTGTGGAATGTTGAGTAGCATCCTAGCCTCTGTCCATCAGATCCCAGAGCTACCACCGGGGGATGATGACCAAAAACCAGACATCATCAAAGGACCCTTGGGGAGCAAATTTGCTGTGCATAAGAGCTCTTGGCCTGGCCTATGGAACTGCAGAAAGGCCCCTTATGTCCTTACTCACCTGAGCACACTCACATAAACTTCCAGATGCAGGCCCCAAGGATTTGAATTCTGTTTGTTTTGTCTATGGTTGTGGTGATTTTGATTTTTAAAAGGTTTATTTATTTCTATTTCATGTGTATGAGTGCTTTGCCCTTCAAGTTGTGTATGTGCACCACATGCATGCAGTACCTAAGGAAGCCAGAAGAGGGCACTAGATTCCTTGGGAACTGGAGTTATGGAAGGCTGTAAGTTGCCTTGTGAGTGCTGCGAGCCAAGCCCCCAGGCTTCTGCAAGTGGAGCAAGTGATCTTTACTACAGATCCATCTCTGCAGCCCATGCTTATCATTTTGCTCATGCTCACTGAGACATGAGTTTCCCTTCAGCAGAAGATCATTTCTTCTCTAGCTGGGTATGATGGTGCAGATCTATAATCTCAGCACTCCAGAGGCTGAGACAGGAGGATTGGCATGAGTTTGAGGCTAGCCTGAGCTTTTATAGTGAGTTTCAGGCTAGCCTGTGCTACCCAGCTTACAAAAGAAGAAAGAAATCCTCTCATACGGGAAGGGGATCTTCTGCGGGGATTTTGCATTTGCTTCTGAAGGCCTTGTTGATTTCCCCAGTCTTGGGGAATTTTTTATGATAATTTCTTGGCCTGGGCTTAACAGATAACCCAATAAAGTAGTGATTATTTAGATTATAGTTCAACCTCTTATTTCTGTGCTGTTCTCTGTCCAGTGCCCAATACCCGCAGCCATAAGAACTGCCCGAGCTGCACCCCAGCTTCTGGGCATGGAGGTTTGCTGCATCTCAGTGGCCTGGCTCTGCCTGGGAATCTGTATTTTCCTTCCAATATTTTTTTGCTCTACCAGCTGCTCCCCCTGAGTAACTGGGATTTGGCTGCCAAACCATCCCCCCTCAGCACCGAGGGAGACAGCAAAGCAGTGCTCTTGTGAGCATTCATGACTGGCAGAAGGCACCGTGGGCCTGAGCGAGAGACGATGGCCTGAGCGGGAGACGATGGCCTGAGCGGGAGACGATGGCCTGAGCAGGAGATGATGGCCTGAGTGGATACTGCTCTGTGATAACCCCAGCCACGTTCTTTCATTTGCCATGAACCACACAAGTGAGGTGACTGCCTCACAAGCTGACTCAAACAGTTCCTTTCTGCTGGTTTTGTTCAGTTCTTTGTCAAGTATGTCTGGAGAATTTGGATTTTTCCTGCTCTTATGTTTAATGATCTCTTATTTTATGAGCCTTATTTACTTCTTGTTGTCCACATAACTGTTTTAGAGGTTAGCATACAGTAGCATCTAATGAGCACAATACAGCTTCTAGTGAATAGAGCAGAAAAAGAAACTGGCAGTTAAGGTGTCCTCCCGTGGATGGCATGCAGGCTTTTGACATCTGAGACTCATAAAATTAGTCATTGGGACTTAAAAAAAAAGTATTCCGAGCACTGCTTTTTCTACATTGAGTGATGTTTTTAGTAAATTCCACTCCATTTGTTATAAATAGTCCTGTTGAAGTTATTTGGATAAATGGGTGTTGAGATTGGCATAGCCATACCAATCTTAGATAAATACTTAAATATCGTTATACATATCTAAGAGTTGGATCGTGTTTCCAGTTTTTCCTTTGAGATCAGAGGGTTTTTTGTTTTGTTTTTGCTCAGAGACAAGGTCTCATGTATGAGGGCCGGCAGGACGGCTCAGTGGGTAAAGGCGCTTGCTGCCAAGTGTGATGACCTGAATTGGATCCCTGGATCCACATAATAGGCGAGAACTGACTCCTGAAAGTTGTCTTCTGACCCCCCACTTGCATGGGGGAATGCCCACAAACCCCTTCCCTGCATACATAATAAATAAGTGTATTTTTTAAGTTAAGACCAAAAGAACAGACAGTGATTATCATTTGTAGCCTACACTTGGAAACTGGTCAGTTCTGGTGGAAGAAATTGACAGTACACAATTGGGCCTTGAGCTGGGCGTCTCACCAGATCTCACTCAGAACTGTGGTCCTCCCAAGTCTTCCGCGTCCACTTCCACTATGCCGTTGAGAATCTTGATGGCCGTGGCTGGCTGCCGTGGAGCCGTATATTGAGGGTTCCTGGGGCCAAGATCCGAGGACCTGGGCAAAACTCACAAAGCTCTTGGTCCAGCCCCTCTGGAGGGTCCTGTGGGCATTCGTGATGAAGTTGTGAGCAATGGGGATGGGCTGCAGCAGCGCCTACAGCTGTGGGTGAGGGGTGAACAGTGGGAGAGCAATGGGGGAGAGGGAGAGAGGAAAGGACCGAACCCCTGTTCGTGAGGCCCCTGCAGAGAGGCGAGCGCCCCTTGGCCAAAACCTGCTTCGTTCTGGGTGGAGCTAAGGAGTGGGTGTGAGTGTAACTGCTATGACAAGTCAGCTGCTTAGTCACTGGACTTTTCCTCTGCCCCCGAGTTCTCTCATGGTAACTTGCTCAGTAGCTCCCCAGCTGTGATTTCCCCCTTACCCGCTTTACATTCTCATTAAACCATGTGGGATTTTTTGGAGGTAATTTTGATTTTGATTTCATTTTCTTGAATGTCTGGGTTCTCTGCTGGGTCTTTTGGCGTTTGGCTCAGTCTTGGGCTCTGTCACTGAGGAGCTCTTTCTGTTGACTTGGAAGGGTGACTTGAACCCACTTGCTTACAGAGACCAGGAAGAAAGGGAGAGAGCCTGGGCTTCGAGGCTTGGGCGCGAAAGGGTTCTGACAAGAGGATTAAAAGTGTTCTCTCACCACAGAGCGCCTCTACTACAAGAACTCTGAAAGAGATGAAGAAAGCCCTCCAAAATGAAGTGGACATCTCATGGCACACGGAGCCCTGCTGAGTGGCTGGAAGCTGGATGAGAGAGCCAGGCTGCTGGCTCCTGGAACATGGCTATGTGCTCCGTGTCTGCCGAGGTCATCCACCAGGTGGAGGAGTCGCTGGACGAGGACGAGAAGGAAATGATGCTTTTCTTATGTAGGGATGTGGCCGAGAACCTGGCCCCACCTAACGTCAGGGACCTCCTGGGCAGCTTAAGTGAGAGGGGCCAGCTCTCCGTTGCTACCTTGGCCGAACTGCTCTACCGAGTGAGGCGCTTCGATCTGCTCAAGAGGATATTGAAGACGGACAAAGCAGCCGTGGAGGCCCACCTGTGCAGAAACCCTCACCTTGTTTCTGATTATAGGTAACTCATGACCTCTGACCCTGGCTGCACTGCGGGGAGGGGGCTGGATGGTCTAGACAGTGAGGGCAGTGAGAAGAGCCTCGCCACCTCTGCTTCCTTCGGAGCAGACTGCCTGCGACACCACTGTGTGGCGTGGAACTCTCTGGATTCTCGCTTGTCTGTTGTTTTGGATGTTTTGGAAGCCCATTATAGCTCAGGTTAGCTTGGAACTTACTGTGTGGCCCAGGCTGGGCCTCCAACCCATAGCAATCCCCCTGCCTCAGGTGTGGTGGGATCACAGCTTGTTTGAATTAAAAAAAAAAAAAAAAAAAAACCCGGGTTGCTCACTGGGTCAGCAACTGGGTAAAAGATCGTAATGGAAGTGGAAAGGACAGATAGTCTGCGTGCCGGAAGGACAGACTGATGAGAAAGGAAGCAAGAAGAAACAACGTAGAGCCCTCTTTCTTGCCAGTCCCTGATGGCGTGGGAGCTGCGCTGCTTTAGAAAATTCTGGTACTGAGAAAGGAAGTAGCAAGTGTGAGTAACCTTCCTACCTCCATAGATCTGTGGCCCTTTGTAAATCTTCCTCTGTCCTAACCCCCAGGCAGCCAAGGAAGTGGAGCAGGGTGGGTTCCCTTCCTGTAGTCCTGCCTTCCTGGCTCCACGGAGCCCAAGTCAATGAGCTACCTTTTAGCCCCCTTCTGGTTGAAGCTGGACCGACCGACCCGGGAGTCCCTTACGTCCAGAGCCTCTGAGCTGTATGTCTGTCTCCCCCCTTTACCCCCTCTGCTGGGGCCGCTGAAAGGACTGAGTTTTCTGAGGCAAGAAAGAGACCTTGTTCCTTTAAATGGCTTCCTGTTCCTCCAGGCCACTAGTTCTGTGGGTTGTGTAATGTGTATTTGGGGATGATGCCTATTACGAAAACTACTGAGGAGGGCTGAAGGCAGCATGGGCTTTGGAAAGTGTCCAGAGCTGGGGGTTGGAAGGGCTGTGTTAGACCTCAGACAGACCAGCCGCGGCCCACACAGGCTGAACCAGTTACTAACTTTACGAAGTAAAGAGTGATATATAGCTCAGCTAGCTGTACCTGGTGACGAAGACCTGCAGTCCCAGCTACTCAGGAGACCGAGGCAGGAAGATTGTGAGTTCAAAGCCAGCCTGTGTAACTTAATAAAACCCCGTCTGAAAAGGCAGAGGGGGCCATGTGTGGAGCTACAGCTCATCGGTAGGTACTTGCTTAGGGTGTCTAAGTTCTAGGTTCAGTCTCAGCACCACCACAGACAGTGACTGAGCATCACAAGTTTACAGGTCTCTTTGGATAGTGTACCAAGTGGCTTTCTGTGGGAGATGCTTGGGGTTGTTGTTATTCTTGGTCATTTTTCACTTGTCCAGCTATCACCTGATGTCAGTGATCTCACGGGGTCTCAGGGACCAGGTTCAGGTCAGGTGAACTGGCAGTTGAGGTGATACGGTTGACCCATTCACCCATCTGCTCAGCAGGCTTCACATCAGCACAGGCCCGGTGCCTACCTAAGCTCAGGGCACAAAAGAATCCCGAAGAATGCAGGAGACTACCTGGGAACGCCCCCTTCTACACAGGAGTCCTGACCAAGTGTGGTGGCTGCCCCAGCCAGGGCACAGGTGACATCATCAGGAGGGGCTTTCCAGGCTAAACATTTGTGGTCAGAAGCCCCATGGCCTACGTCTTTTACATTTCAAATTCAACTGTGGGCCAAGATGTTGGGGATGTTTCTTGGCTCTGGGATCCTGAGACTCAAAGTACGGTTCTTAACCCAGTGTCACCTGCAGCTGCCAAACCGAGAGGACAAGGCCACTCTGAATCCTGTCTTTCCTGTTACTCAATTGTTTCATTTCACTATTAGTTTTGGGGACCTAGGGGTTTTTTTCAGGGAAGTCTTATTTGCCCGGTTATTTTCAGAGCGGTTAGTTAGAAAGGGAAGTGCTGTGTCCTGCTGCAAACAAAGGAAAGGCCAGGTGTGGTCGTGCACGCATGCCTGCGTGTTGTAATTCCAGCACCTGGGAGGCAGAGACAGGAGGCTGGGCCGGTCTGAGGCTAGTCTGTCTACACAGTGAGTGCTAAGGTAGTCTGGGCTGCACAGCCCCAGCCTGTCTCTAAACACCAAACCAAGCAAACAGAGGAGGATGAGTTTTCTTTTTGAATTTTCTTAGAGTTTCTTGGGGCACTGTCAAGGCCTCCTGTTTTATAGAGTGGGGGCACATTCCACAGGACAAGAATTAGTCTAGTTGTTGGCCTCGGGGAGGCATGGGCTCTTGGATCCTTGTCTGGCTTTACTAAAGAAACTTTTGGGATTTGCAGGGTGCTGATGATGGAGATTGGTGAGAATCTGGATAAATCTGATGTGTCCTCGTTAGTCTTCCTTACAAGAGATTATACAGGCCGAGGCAAGGTGACCAAGGACAAGGTGAGTTGTCTTTTCTGGGTGTCTGTTCCAAAGAGCTGTCAGAAGTAGGGTCTGCTCCTTGTGGTATGGAGAGAGGCGGGTGGGCAGCCTGTTGCCGTGGTCCCAGGAACTAGGCATCTCAGATGGTTTCTCTCTAACACTGGTAGCAAGAGAGTGGGTTTTTTCTTTTCTTTTGTTTTGTTTTTAAAGATTTATTTAGTTATTATGTATACAGTGTTCTGTCTGCATGTATGCCTGCAGGCCAGAAGAGGGCACCAGATCTCATTACAGATGGTTGTGAGCCATCCTGTGGGTGCTGGGAATTGAACTCAGGACCCCTGGAAGAACAAACAGTGCTCTTAACCTCTGAGCCATCTCTCCAGCCCGAGAGTGGGTTTTTAATTAGGAAGAAAATAGGTTGGTACTATCTCTTCCTGTGGCCTTGGGTGTTTCTTTCATGTTTAGATTTGGTCCTGATTTCTGTAACGGCACAGGCCGGGCTTCTCCGTCAGTTCTCTGAATTGACAGCTCTCTTCCGGGCGAGGGCGTCCTGTCTGCTGGTGTGGCGTAGACCCGAGGGCTTGCTGGTCCACTCCCATTGGCTGTCCCTCTTCTGTTTTACTTCCCTCGGTGCTCTGTGGAGGTAGTTCGGGGTGGGTGGGGGGAAGTGGTGGTCCTTCTGACTCATCCCTCTGGGAAGTGGCTAATGTGGAGATTGGGACAGAAATGTGGTGACCATTTAGGGTTGCTAGGGTTCCCGGAAGAATGCTTGAACGCCTGGTATGGCTAACATAAGGACGAGTCAAGAAAAATCTTCATCTCGGGGTGGGGGGGGTGTGGGGGTGTGTGGGGGGTGTGGGGGGGTGTGTGGGGGGTGGGGTGGTGGGGTGGGGGTGGGGGGTGGGGGGTGGGGGTGGGGGGGGGGGGTGACAATAAGTCTTCCGAGTGGCTACCCTGCCTCTAAGAATTTCCTCAGGCTCCTCGGTTTTAGGACTATAGGAACACAGCTTGTTCCCACATCAAATGGGGAATGAGGAAGAAAATGAAAACAGTGTTTTGGGGGATTTCCCTAATCAACTTCTTCCATTTATATGTAATTAATTATGTTTATTGTCTTTGCAAATAATGATTAACAGTTAAGTAACCGAGTGTTAACTGTGAGCAAAATAAAACCCAAAGTGATGCTTGCGTCTGAAATATGGTTCTTTAAAGATCCTGGTGTTTCAGGTTGAATGAGTAGGAGAGCCCCACCCTTTCTGGTCGTCATCTCTTGAGTCAGAATGATCTGGAATGTCCAGCATCGATGCAAACAGTTTAAGAACTTTCACGTGGCGTTATGAGGATTTCCTATATCAATCTTTTCCTCAGCTGTAACCCCCTGGCCACACACACACTCTGGGAAGCCCTTGTGGTGTGTGGTGTTGGGGATCAAGTCCAGGGCGTCATGCATGCTAGTCAAGCACCCTACCACCTGAGCTACCGCCCTAGGCCCCCATCTCTTTGAATCAAATTCAGGAGAGTGATTTGTTCTGGGCAGAACTGTCTGGATTGGGATCACCAAGGGTCACCAGAAGGTCTCATCTAGGTCATCTTATGACCAGATGACCTAGAGTTTGCCCTGGGGACTTGTTAGCTCCACTTACATGTGTTTCTTGTTGATCTCTTAGAGTTTCTTGGATCTGGTGATTGAATTGGAGAAACTGAATCTGATTGCTTCAGATCAATTGAACTTATTAGAAAAATGCCTGAAGAACATCCACAGAATAGACCTGAAGACAAAAATCCAGAAGTACAGGCAGTCTGGTAAGGAATTTTGGCTTCTCAGTGATCTCTGATGCTTTACTCTGTGTGCAGTGGGAATGGTTGGTGAGGAGTCATTTGTTGGATACATGGTTGAGACAGAACCCAAGTGCCCCAGCCCCTCTAGCCTACGTCAAGAGATCATATTCCTTTATTGCCTTCATATCCCGATATCCCAACCCTACTGCCAAATCTCCCCCCTCTGAAACTTGCCACCAACCAGGTCTTAACATCCTGATCTTTAAAGAAGTCTGTATCTCTGTTTTTTTGTTTTTTTTTTTTTTTTTAAGATTTATTTATTATGTATACAGCATGTATGACTGCACGCCAGAAGAGGGCATCAGATCTCATTACAGATGGCTGTGAGCTACCATGTGGTTGTTGGGAATTGAACTCAGGACCTCTGGAAGAGCAGCCAGTGCTCTTAACCTCTGAGCCATCTCTCCAGCCCTGTATCTCTGATTTTAAAGGGCAGAGAGACTGAACAGTCAGGACTTAGATTGCAGGTTGAACCCTGTTGCCCGGCTCCGTGGTGGACCTGGTAACCACCATCCAACTCTGTGGTGTCCCTGGGTCTGATTGCTGTCCTCCGTGTGTGCTGTGTTTCACTTAACCTCACGAGAAAGGTCACTTTTCTTTTCTTTTTTTAAAATAAAAGGGGGTCATCCTTCTCCCTTATACTGGCACCATAGGGTCACAGCATAAAGGTCGTTGACTGAGACTTGCTTGTCTATAGGGCAATCTGTCCTCGTTCTGAATGACAATCAGAAATAGGAATGGCACTTAATTGTCTTTTTAATTTATTTAGTGTGTGTGTGTGTCATGTAGGAGTCATTTCTTTCCTTCCATGATGTGGGTCCTGGGGATTGAAATTAGGTTGTCAGAGTCAGTGGCAAGTGCTTTTACCCACTGAGTCAACTCAGTCTCCCTTTTAGTCATTTTTTTTAATTTTTTTTTTTTTTTTTTTTTGGTTTTTTGAGACAGGGTTTCTCTGTGTAGTTTTGGTGCATGTTCTGGATCTCGCTCTGTAGACCAGGCTGGCCTGGAACTCACAAAGATCCGCCTGGCTGTGCCTCCCAAGTGCTGGGATTAGAGGTGTGCGCCACCACTGCCCAGCACCTTTAGTTATTCTTATCGATGGGCAGAAGTTATCTGTCTGCACTGATGCTTTGAATTCAGATGGTTCAGGTTTTAGGTATTTTGAAAGATGACGAGTCACTGGTACTGAAGCATTGTTGAAGACTCATTTGATAATTTATGAATCTTAGCCCCGCTTTCTGTCTTTCTAGGCCAAGGAACAGGATCAAATTATATGAATTCTCTCCAGGCTTCTCTCCCAAACTTGAGTATCAAGGAACCTTCATATACTTCAAGGGTGAGTCTGGAGCCGGTGTACGGAGTATCAGCATGAACCAGTTTCAGAGATGTTATCCAAGTGTGCATCTCATTTTCCTGTGTAATAGCTGAACAAACTATGATAGACATGTATCTCATTAAAAAATGTGTGCAACTTTTAAAAAATAATTTATTTATTTTTATTTCATGTGCATTAATGTTTTGCCTGCATGTGTGAGGGTGTTGGATCCTGGAGTTTCAGACAGTTTTCAGACATGTGGGTCTAACCACTGAGCCATCTCTCCAGGCCAGCACTTCTATGATTATAAACCTTAAAAATTCTCAGCTAGTGGGCGGTGGTGGCGCACACCTTTATTCCCAGCACTTGGGAGGCAGAGACAGGCGACTTTCTCTGAGTTTGAGGCCAGCCTGGTGTACAGAGTGAGTTTCAGGACAGCCAGAGCTACACCAAGAAACCCTGTTTCCAAAAAAAAAAAAAGTTTAATAATTAATGTGTCATGTGTCTGTTACCTAGGTATGACTACCATTAATATTTTAGGATGCTTTCTTTTAGTTCCTTTCCTGTGTGCATTAGCAAATGTTCTATTTATACCACTGGAAATTTTGTTCATTCTTTGTTTGTTTCTTTGAAGATTCACTTTTAAAATAAAAAGAGATAGGATGTACGTGCAGAAAGAAAAACTTAAATGTCCCCACAGAGATTTTAAAATCGTGTTTTCTCCCTACCCTATAATACTCATATTCCAGTTCCTTTCTGTTAAGGCGACTATTCTTGACCAGTTCCTTGACCATGCAGAGATAGTCCACATACATACAGTGTGTGAGGGGTAACAAGCACACCACGTCACTCTTCTGAACAGAGAATTCCTAGACACTGTACCATACAGTCCATACGAGATCTCACCCTGTAACCCAGCCTGGACTGGAATCCAGTGTTTAGCCCAGGCTGGCCTTGAACTTGTAATGACCCTCCGCTTGCTTCAGCCTCCTAAGTGCTGACCTTATGGACATGTCCTGCCAGGAGGGCTCCTGGCTTCCATTTTCTACATACACCAAAATGTATTTAGTTCTTTCTTGCTGATGTATGGATTGCCTCTGTTCTTTTGTTACTAGAAGCAATGCTGCAAAATAAATATCCTGGTTCTTATCTCTTTGTGCCTTTTCTTTTTTAAAAAATAATTTTAGAATATTTTACTTTTATTTATGTGTACGCATGTGTGCCTGTATGAGTTTTTTTTCACCACGTGTGTTCAGGAGTCCACCGAGGTCAAAAGAGGGCATGAGACCCCCTAGAACTAGAGTTACAGGCAGTTATGAGCCACCCTGTGGTTGCTGGGAATTGAACCCATGTCCTCTGAAAGAACAGTCCGTCCTCGTAACCTCTGAGCCTTCTCTCCAGTCTTCCCTTGGCTTTTTTACTGAGTGTGTCTTAATAATTTTTTTTTTTCGAGACAGGGTCTCTCTGTGTAGCTTTTGCTGTCCCGGATCTCGCTCTGTAAACCAGGCTGCCCTCGAACTCACAGAGATCCACCAGCCTCTGCCTTCCGAGTGCTGGGATCAAAAGCGTGCGCCACCCCCACCCAGCTGTATCTTAATAATTTAACAATATGTAAACTTTTTTTTTTTAATTGAGTGATGGAACAAAAGATTTCTTTTTCTAGTTAACGATCATAAATATCACATGGTCATTTGTAGTTGTGTTCAGAGGAGCACAGACCATCTTGTGCTTGTTCCCTGGTTAATCTTTTATCGTGAGAAGAGCCTCGGTATAATATGAACCTAACCCCACTTCAAGTTATGCGGACTTTGAGATGGACACTTAGGAGAGTTCAGCTTTGTGGTTGAATTGTAAAGACTTCTATAAACGTGTGTCATGAAAAACATTCCTCCTGTTTTGTAAGCAGTTTCCTGGAGAACACTAGCAATAATAGGAGGGACCACTGAGCCACAGACTTACAAAGCTAAATGGCTGTTCGATTGTCCTGTCCCACCCACTCACTGAACAAAATAAGGACACGAATGTCTAAAGCATGGTGACTGTGTACATATATCTCCTGCAGGCCCAGCCAGGCCCGGCCTCTGCTCATCCCACTGTCTCCTGATATATCTATAAACTACAGTCATCTCCTTGCTTAGGTACAGCTTTTTTTTTTGGGTTTTTCGAGACAAGGTTTCTCTGTGTAGCTTTGCGCCTTTCCTGGAACTCGCTTTGGAGACCAGGCTGGCCTCGAACTCACAGAGATCCGCCTGCCTCTGCCTCCCGAGTGCTGGGACTAAAGGCGTGCGCCACCACTGCCCAGCAAGTACAGCTTTTAATTTGCTCTTCTAGTCTCCGATACTCAGTCGCAGACAACCCAGATGCAGGATTTCCTGACCTCTTCCTCCCACCACCTGTTTATTGTAACTTACACTATCCGTCTTAGTTAAAATCCTTCCATGTTTTCACTACTGTGTTTCTATGCTGCAAACGCAGCCCAGCATCTTCATGGTCGTCTGTGTGGCCTGCTTGGAGTCCGGCATGCTGTGTGCTTCGTTTCTCTTTCCCCTTGCTGTCTCTAACACGTGACTCGATATCTCATTTAGTAAGCAGGCACCAGGACATAGAAACCTGGTAACTTTCTCGCAAGATTCAGGAACTGCATGGTTATGTTTTGACTCGTATAAGGCTACAAACGTGCTTCGGAAATTACAATGACGTTACCTGCATCTGAGGTATTCTGCAATCACAGAGTTACAGGACTGCACTGTCATGCTTTGACAGTCTGGCTTTGATTTGATCCCTTGTCAGTGGCATGTAAAAGTGAATGTACTGTTTTGGGGGGACAGCAATGACCAGGCTTTGACTAAGTCAGGATTATTCCTGCGGGGTTGGGGGGGAGCCATAGCTTGCATGTCTTGCCTCAGTTTACACACAGATGTACCCTCAGACGCAGGTTAATAGAAATAAGAACTTTCTTTGGTTAGAATAGCTAAAGAGGTAAGCTGTTGTTGAACTCTGAGTGGTCAGATGGTGATAGGCAATGATGTCATCTTACACGGGGTCCTGTCATCTGAGAGAAGAGGTCAGTTTCGTCTTTCAGGAGTGGTTCATGCAGAATTCTTCATGGTCACGAATCGTGCCCACATACCACTTATCTTGTACCTTAGAAATCATTTTCTAAGAAGCCATAGTTGGACGTCGTTTGTTTATTTACGTAGGAGTGCTGTAGATTGTACCTAGGGCTTTGGGTGTAGACGTTTATTAAGTGCTTCCATGTACGCTATACTGTGCTGGCTGCTTCTGAGTACTGAAACACCAGAAGCACCCTTTGGGGCTAAGGCTGGTGAGATGGCTTAGCATTTAAGAGCATAGGCTCCATTTGCAGCACCCACAGGGTGGCTCACAACTGTCTGGAACTCCAGTTCCGGAGGATCCAGTGCCCTCTTCTTATCTCCATGGACATCAGGCATAGCCGTGCATGCAAAAACACTCACATACATTTAAAAAAAAAAAACAAAAAACAAAAAACCGCCCTACTGTGTATGTATAGCAGGTATCATTATTCTCTTCTGATCCTCACTTTCGCAGATGAGGAAGCAGGTAGAAGGACAAAATGACTGGCAGAGTCAGGATTCATAGTCAGAAGTGCACGGCCTAAAACGCACACCGGTAGCCATGCTGTGCTTTGCCCTGCCGTTAAAGGAATAGACTGAATGTCAAGTCTCCGTCCCAGCATGCTCTGCTGCGTTGGGACTGCCCTAGTGCCCAGGCTGTCCGTAAGAGCTGGCTCAGAGCTGTTTTGAAGCAGTCTAGTGTGTGAGTTTAGCATAGCTCCACCTTCATAGTGTTTTCATTTCTCACCGAGAGAGCTGATTTGATCTCGGAACTTAGGGAGTTAACAGTCCCCGCAGTTCATTTTTAGGTAACCGCGAAGGTGATATTTTTATTTTTCCCCCCTGTGTAAAAATATTGAGCTATTTAAAGAGGTGTAACATAGTGAGCTTCTAAAAACTAACAGCGTGACCTTCTTTTTTGTGTTTGAAGCTTCAGAATGGGCGAAGTAGAGAACAAAGATTTGTGGAGTACCATGGCGTTCAAAGTAAGACCGTTAATTTCTTATATCTATTCTTTATACATTTTTCATAACTTCAGTACAAAGGGCTGAGGTATAGCTCGGTGGTAGAGTGCTTGACTAGTGTGCATGAGGCCCTGGGTTTGATCTCCATTACCGGAAAAAAAAAAATTCACACTGCTGTGTCTGGTGGTCCCTGCTTATTGACCGAGCTGCTGGAGAGGGTGAAGTAGGAGGCTCTCTTGTGCCCAGGTGTTCAAGATCAGCCTCTTTAGCAATGTGGTGAGACCCTGTCATCTAAAAAAGAGAAAAAGAAAGGAAAAAAAAAAAAAGGAAAAGTTCCATTTTAGAGCTGGTGATTTCTTTTATCCACAAATTTTGATTAAGCTCTCGAAGGGCAGTAAACACATTCCTCAGAAGTGCTCCCTGACACTGGTAATTCCTCTCTAACTTAGCTCATCTAAACCTGGATCACACCCCCTCCATCAGGCCCATAACCTTGCCTGTGTTTGTAAGATGTGTGGCATTTGTACCTCTGAAATGGAGCTGTAACCAGACCATGGTAAACATCAATCCAGCCATGGTAGTGAGCCACGGGAAAGCCAGTGTCTAGGAGCAGGAAGAAGAAAGGTTAACTGGACACTCTAGAGAAGGCAGTCTCTTCCATAAAAAGAAAAGAAATGCAGTTGAAAAATGGTTCATTTCAACCGGTATGTTCTCTTCTTCCTTAAAACATCAGTGCTTAGCCGGGTGGTGGTGGCGCACGCCTTTGATCCCAGCACTTGGGAGGCAGAGGCAGGTGGATCTCTGTGAGTTCGAGTCCAGCCTAGTCTACAAAGCGAGTTCCAGGACAGGCTCCAAAGCTACACAGAGAAACCCTGTCTTGGAAAAAAAAAAAAAAAATCAGTGCTTGCTTGAGCTTGTGGCATTATTTAAAATTTTATTTATTTGTTTTTTTGTTGTTTGGGATAACTAGAGACAGAAATTGCAGCGTAGCCCTTGCTGGGACTAGTATTTATCATGTAGCCCAGGCTAATCCCAAACTCACAGCGAACCTCCCATTTCAGTCTTCTGAGTACTAGAATTGCAGGGCTGTACTACCATGGCTGGCTTATGACATTACTATTATTATTATTATTTTTTAAAAGCATTTCTTTGCAGCACGGAGGCCTTTCTAAAGCGAGAGTCCAGACTCAGCCTTATACTGGTGAGGTAGCCTGTGCTTCAAGCCAGCATGAGCAGGCCTCTTTGCCACGATGGAGGGCTACGGTGCTACCCAAGGGCCTTTGAATCTGTTGCGTGCATGCGCAGTAGAGGAGCACCAACATGGGTCGGGCGGCGCCCTGATGGAGCCTGGTCCAGGCAGCTCGTGTAGCCTGCAGGCTGCGTGTGCTCCTGGAAGCCAAGAACCATTTTACCCCGGCTAGCCAGATGGTGCCGCTCACGCCTGCCGCTCCCTACCTAACGTTCTTCTCTCCAGTGAAAACTGTTGAGAACGGAATGAATCCCTGAAGTGACAGCCTGTTTCTTAAAACACTGTTGAGGTGGGAGAGCTAGCTAGCACGCTGAGTGCTGTTTAAAGTGGAAAACAGGAGACCCGGCAGGCATGCTCGCTTAGGAATGCAAAACGAACGTGTTCTTTCCACTGTGAGCCTAGCATAGATTGGTCCTGGTCAGTCCTTGAGGCTCCCGTCACCTGGCGTCACTGTTAGGGGAGCTGTCTTTCTGCTTTGGCCTGGCTTGGGCTCACTAATAAGAAGGAAAAGCCTTAAACTAAGAAGTTTAAGATAATCAAGCCATGTGTTCAGGTCAGTTTGGACTTGGACATGGTTCCTAGTGAAAGATCTTGATGGTGGTGGTGACTGCCACTTACTATCAGGCTCTTCCTAAATCCTCAGCCAAGACAGGCATGTCACTGAGATGGGCATGTCACCGAGATAGACATGTCACTGAGATAGGTGTGTCAGTGAGGTAGGTGTGTCACATACATATTTTCTAAGGAAGAGTAGTTGGAGTACATGCCAAGGGGACAGCAGGCTGGGCAGTATGCAGAGTACTGTCTGTAACCTAACTAATGGAGTTGCTGTTCTGTTCAAATAAACTGCTTGTTATAACTGAAGAGAACCAAGCAAAATTCCCTCCTCATTTCATTTGCCGGTGATAGCTGTAGTTAATGTTTGGTTTATTTTCTTCTATTGTCAATTCTTTTTGGAAGGGTCTCGTTACACAGCTCAGGCCGGTCTCCAGCTAATAGCCATTGTCCTCTAATGTGCTGGAATTGCAAGCATGGACTACCACACCCAGCTCATGTTTGATTTTATGCTTTTTCTTAAATACTGTTGGGGATTGAACCTAGGACTTCATGAGTGCCGGTCAAGGGCTCTCCCACTGAGCTACAACCCCCAGTGGTTGATTTAAACCTCTTGGTTTTTATCTAGAAGTATACACACTTGTCTCTCAGTATCTGTAGGTGATTTGCTCCAGGATGCCCTGTGGGTACTACAATCTGCAGATGCTCAAGTCTCTTACACAGCAGGCTGTGACATTTTCATATACCCTGTCCACATCCACTCTTACACTTAAACCATGCCTATATTACTTATAATGCTTAGTACAATGGAAATGCTATAGTTTTTATACTTTACTCTTTAGGGAACAGTGACAAGAAAAATGTCCATGTTAGTCTGTATTAAGTGCATGTTACTGAATCATCCATTTTAATGTGAATATGTTGTGTAGGTATATCGAATGTACAACAATTTCTATTAGCCTTTTGCACATCGCAGAGTATGCAATCACGTGTATCATAGTTGACTTAATCAGTTTCATGGTTGTGACTTTTAGGTTTTTTCCTAGCTTTGGCCATGGTAAGCAGTCAGTCAGTAGATGTCTTTGATATGCTTTTTTTATTCATGGTTTATTATCTCCGTAAAACTTCTAAATGCATAATTTAGCTGAAAGGATGTTTATTGCGAGTTGCCCTTCAGGTGCTCAGGAGCCAGGGAGAGGGTTCAGTTGGTGAAATGCTTTCCACACAAGTGTGAGGACCCGAGTTCAGTCTCCGGCACCCACATAAAACCAAAAACAAAAACTGAATGTCCTGGTGCATGCCTGTGATCCCAGCACTGGGGAGACAGAGACAGGAGGATCCCCATGACTGGCTGGCCAGCCTGCCTGTGTGAATTGATAAGCTTTGGGTTCAATGAAAGATTCTGTAATAAAAAGTAAAGTGAAAAGTGATTAAGAAAGACACATGGCATCAACATGTGAAAACAGGGGTGCTTGCACCTGTACACACATACATGCATATTCACGCACACATACATGCATATTCACACACACACATATACATGCATATTCACACACATATACCTGCATATTCACATACACATACCTGCATATTCACATACACATACATGCATATTCACATACACATACATGCATATTCACACACACATCTGCATATTCACACACACATACCTGCATATTCACACACATGCATATTCACACATATACATGCATATTCATACACACATGCATATTCACACACATGCATATTCACACATATACATGCATGTTCATACACACATACATGCATATTCACACACACAGAGAGAGACTGGTTCAAAGCCGAGTGTGGTAGCACAGGACTGGAATCCCAGAACTCACGAGCTGAAGCAGGGTGAAAACGAGTTTGAGGCAGGCTCAGCCTGGGCAACATATCAAGAGCCTACCTCTGAAACAAAACAAACTCAAAATAAAACAATGACAGAAAGCAAACAAACAAACAACCCCCCCCCCCCAGTTCATTTCCCCCAGATCTCACAGACTCTGGTGAGGTGGTGGTTTTCTTTGTCCTATCTTTAGACATCATTTCTCACTTTGCCGCAGTCTTGGCCTAGAGATGGAATGAGGAGACAGGATGAGAACTCCTCAGCACTAAGGTGTGAGCCAGCCCTTTTGTGTCTTGGGAGCCCAGTGCCTCCCCCACGCTCTCAGGCTAATTGAGTCATTGTTGTGGAGCAGAGTTTGCTGTGGGCTCCCCACTTTCCAGGCTTGCTGTGCACTGTCTTGCTGCTGACATTTTATTTTATCATCTCCCAGCATCACTGAACTATGAAAACATTGGCCATCTGTTCTGTACATAGCACACATACATAAGCTTCCCTTTCCTGCACGCTCCAAGCTGTTCCCTTTAGATGGAGCCCATGGTTTTGGCCCATGTAGGAAAGCTATTAGTATAGCGAGATTTTTGAATTCTCCTTATCAGGTTAAAAACTCACCAGCCCCCGGTCATCACCTGGAGGAGGGTGAGAGAGAGCCTTCTTGCACTTGCATATCATGGTTTTTCTACACAGTCCTGGACTAACAGGGGCGCCTGAGTTTTCTTTTGAGTCAGGCTCTTCCATATGAGGATGGAACTTTGGGCTGAGTTTAGCTGGAGAAAGAATAGGTAGTTAAGAAGCAAGCAAAAAAACAAAACACAACAAAGACCATTCACGATGGAAAGAACTCAGCCAGCATGTGCGGGTCTAAGTTCTGCTTTGTAACGATTCTCTCCCTTTTATCCCCCAGGAAAACCAGTGAAGACGTCCATTCAGGAATCGGGAGCTTTGTGGTCTCCGGTAAAGAATAAATTCTCTGATTTGGTATTGTATGCACAAGTCTCGACTAGAACACTGATGTCTTAAAAAAACAAACAAAAAAAGCCAAAACTGTTTTGAAAAATTCTTTGTGACAACTGGGTGCCTGTGCGTAATTCTCCTGAGAACTCATTGGCCAGGAACCTTGAATCTATATAGCAGAGGAAAAAAAAAATTGTTCGAGTAGATGGCATGAACTTTGGAATGCAGGGGAATTCCAAGTGGCAGCTCATGGCGAAGCCGGGTAACTACCGGACATAGAAGTGGGCAGTGATGCTGAGCTGAACTATGTTGTGCCCTGGCTTTTGTCTGGGTTGACAAGGTCCTCTTAAGAGGAGGCAGTGGAAAGGTGGAAGGCTGTCGTTTGTACTGGCTGAGAAAAATGTCTCTTGTTGCTACTTCAGGCATCTGTGAAGGCACATGACCCATCTTTCTTCTCTCTTCCAAATAAAGAATTCCAAATTCTTTATTCTGCAAAGCTAAGACACATGCAAAGAGATGACGATTCTCATGGCGATTGGGAGAAATGAAACAGCTGTTTGTCTTGAGCACATTAGCAGAACAGAGGAAAAGTTTTACAGTAATGGGACGTGTCAGCTGTGATGACTTTAGGCCGCGTCTGCGGAGTGACTCACCTGCCAAAGGGATGCTTAAGACAACCCAAAAGAAGAAATGGCACAGGAGAGAGGCCTTAAGGGGACAGAGAGGTATCCAGCCTCCCTAACTGTGCCTGCCTTTCTTCCTAGCACATACACGAGGAGAGTTACAGGATGCAGAGCAAGCCCCTGGGAATCTGCTTGATCATCGATTGCATCGGAAATGACACAGGTAGGTGTCGAAGCCACAGACCAGCTGATGCCCTGCGGCGTGGCCACGACCAGGCAAGGTGGATTTGTCAGCATGGTAAATACCAGCTGCAGTAGCCAAGCACACTCTATTATGATGCTCGCTTTTTACTCCATGTGGTCCGTGAGTCAGTGGTCCCCTCATCTTTTGGGGCCTTGGAGTCTTCTCTAGGGTCCTCTGTGTGACTGACAGGTGAGGGGATAGAGACTGTGTAGAGGACCTCATGACAGATTTCAGAGACCGGGCCTCAGAGCGATGTGCCTCAGCTCTACTCATATTCTATTGGTCAAAACTTAAGGGGCTGAAGCCAACTACAATGGACGTAGATAAATTTGTCTATGTGTTAGGAGGAACATGAGATGAACTTGGGGAACACAAGTTATAATTGTGGTAGTTGGCGTGTGTCTTTAGTCTTACCTGTGCATCCTGGGTGATATGGCTCGGGGTGGTCCTGGTCTGCAAGGGGCCTTTGTAATGAAAGGCATTCTGGTTTCTAATATTACCAGGTGTTTCATCTTTTCGCCTAGATGGACTGTGAAAGCCTCCCTTGGGGCCATTAAAAACGTGTTAAATCTGTGTTTACTTAGAGGGATGTGAATAGTGTGGGGACCACGTGTCCCTTTGATCTACCTGTGAGCCGTCATCATTTGGGTCTGAATTGTTTTGCTCAGTTGTTGGATGTCTGACGCTCGCTGAATCCCTGGTGATGCATCAGGAGAGAACAAGGAGAGCCAAGTGCTGAGAATAACATCCCATTTAATCATCTCTCCCTTCCTTTAGAGGAGTGATCGCTGCGGTTCATGGCTTTTGTGCCTCTCAACATTCCTTAGCATGAGTCAGAGATGACTCGCTTGAAATATTACCGTGGGGAGATTTGTGAAAAGAGAGCCCAAGAGAAGGTCAAGTTAGCAGATACGAAACTCTATTTCCCAGGATTTCAGCTACGGTCCCACTTTCTCATGTCCTATTTTTGGTAGCTGTGAGAAATGTGTCTCTTCAGCTGTAGAGAACTGTCCTTTCCTTTTGTATTGGTTTGAATGAAAATGGCCCCCATAGGCTCATATATTTGACTGTTTAGTCCTTTGTTGAATTAGTAGGTGTGGCCTTGTTGGAGGAGGTGTGACCTTGTTGGAGTAGGTGTGGCCTTGTTGGAGGAGGTGTGGCCTTGTTGGAGGAGGTGTGGCCTTGTTGGAGCAGATGTGGCCTTGTTGGAGGAGGTGTGGCCTTGTTGGAGCAGATGTGGCCTTGTTGGAGGAGGTGTGGCCTTGTTGGAGGAGGTATGGCCTTGTTGGAGGAGGTGTGGTCTTGTTGGAGGAGGTGTGGCCTTGTTGGAGGAGGTGTGTCACTGGGGTGGGTTTTGAGGTTTTAAAAACCCGTACCAGGCCCAGTGTCTTTCAGCCTATTGCCTGTGGATCAGGATGTGACGCTCTCCGCTACTGCTCTAGTGCTGTGCCCATCTAGTGCCAGGATGATCATGGACTAACCTTCTGAAACATTAAGCAAACCTCCAATCAAATGCTTCCTTTCCAAGAGTTGCCTTGGTCACCGTGCTTTGTCACAGTAGCCCCAAACTCAGGCACCATTTTAGCTATTAGCATCCATAGACAGTGAGGAAGTAGCTTCTTAATGAGTCACTTACTGTTCTAAAGGACGTCGTGGAATTGTCCTTTGTAATTGGTCTTGTTTCATTTACCATCAGGAAATATCTGAAACCCTCAGCTTCCTGTGTTGTACCTCTGTTTACATTAAGGGACCCACAAAGACCAGACACAACCTTCTGTGAACCAAAACTCTCAGTTATTCATGACTAACCCCCAGTGCCCGTGCTGAGTTGTGGGCAGGGGCTAGATGCATACCTGTGTTTCTCCAAGTACAGGAGTGCATCAGAGTTGGGCCCTGGTAGTTTTGCCCAGATTTTAATCATGGCTTTGCTGTATCTTAGCTTGTGACCTTGGGCTCAGTGTCTCTGCCGTAATGTGGGTTAATAACAGAAGTTCCCTCATGGGATGGTTAGGAGAATGAGTGAGATTATTCTCCTAAAGGGTGTAGGGTGCCTGGAACAAAGTGCCAGCTAACGTTCTTACTTTGTTTAACTTTAGTGGAAAACTACTGAAGCCGTAACCTGCCATGGCTTAGCACTTAGGATGTTCAGTCTGCTCTCAGATGAGTAAGGGATTGGAGGGCCTGAGGACAACACTGGGTTCCAGGGCAAGTGGGGTGTGTCCCCACATGCGGTGCCGCAGTGGATGGAGGCACGTACTTTAGAGGGGACAAATTTCAAGTGGAAAAATCAAAAAGTAAGGTGGAGACACTTGATGTTGACCTCTGGCCTCAACACATGTGCACATCTGTATCTGGACACACATACAATCGCACAAGCACACACACATTCACTCACTCTCATGCACACATGCGCACACAGAATGGAGCTCCAGGCAGCAAATCCTCAGTGTCATCCTTCCAAGGTCAATGTCTTGAAGGGCATGTGGGACTGGAGCGGGCCGAGCCCTACTGTAAAGGGTGCTTTAACTGCTCAGCACCCCTCCCCCTCCCCCTCCCCCTCCCCCCCTCCCCTCCACCCCAGGAGAATCAGGGTTCTTCTGACTCATATGCTCTTTGCCTCTAAGAGTAAAACAAATCACTGTACTGGAGGTCACTTACGAAACCTCCCAGCTCAGCTGGCCGATCAGCAGGTAAGAAACAAGATGATCTAGCTTTGCCAGTGGAGAGGTCCCAGATCCCTTTGTGAGGCTCGGAGCAGCAGGAGGGCATTAATCATCCAGTGGAAGGACAGTAAGGACAATCCTTCGTCCACATCCAGCTCTGCACCTCCAGCTCTATGCTCACACTCTCCTGGGACTTTTCCCTGAGGACTCTGGGATCCTGCTTCGTGCAAAGACTCTTCACTGCTTCTTTCCCATCTCTTCAGCACTAGAGCCCTTCATCTGGGGTTGTTATGTGGGATCTCCTCTGTCTAGATAATTTTGCCAACTGGTTAATGTTTAACATTTGGCCAATGTGCAGGGGTTAGATAACAAGCAAGCAGACAAGATAATTGCCAGCTGAAAAAAAAGGCTCTGAAGAAACCAGCAGTTTCTTCAGATAGGCTGATGGTCAGAGGGCATCATTTAATAGAATCTACCGTGTGGCAGGTACTTTGCTAATTGCTTTGCATGGGTGGTCGTACACCATGGAACTAGGATTCTGAAACCGACTTTTAGTCACTTGCATTGGTGGAAGTTCTGCAAGGGGAGATGGAGAACTTATCTGTGTGTTTACTGTGTGTCACCAGCAGCTAAACAAGTGCCAGACACACAGGTGCTCAGTAAATATTTACTGAAGGGATGCCGGTGGTAGACTAGTTCCTGAAGCGGTGCAGTGATGGACTAGTTCCTGAAAGGGTGATGGAGTAGTTTCTGAAGGGGTGATGGAGTAGTTCCTGAAGGGGTGATGGAGTAGTTCCTGAAGGGGTGATGGAGTAGTTCCTGAAGGGATGATGGAGTAGTTCCTGAAGGGATGATGGAGTAGTTCCTGAAGCGGTGCAGTGATGGAATAGTTCCTGAAGGGGTGATGGAGTAGTTCCTGAAGGAGTGATGGAGTAGTTCCTGAAGGGGTGATGGAGTAGTTCCTGAAGGAGTGATGGAGTAGTTCCTGAAGGGGTGATGGTGATGGTGATGGAGTAGTTCCTGAATGGATGATGGAGTAGTTCCTGAAGGGGTGATGGAGTAGTTCCTGAAGGGGTGCTAGAGTAGTTCCTGAAGGGACGCTGGTGATGGAGTAGACTCTCCTTATAACATGTGTTTTGAAACCAGTCCTTTGATGTTTAAGTTTAATAGAGTCTCATGGACTTTTTTCCTCCTTTTAGCCTACCCCCGCACCCCAAAAAATCAGACTTTAACTAAAGACTATACAAATCCCCTAAATATTTATAGGCATATTATTTTCTTTGTCTGGTAAATGCTTATTAAAGATGTCTTACAAACAGAGCACATGCTTGGCCCCTCATGGAGCACATTTGAGGTGGAGTCTGGTCTCAGGGCCAGTGAGAAGAGACAAGGTTATTTTTGGTAAATTATTTTGGAAAAGGATCCTTATAGTCCATGACCTCTTCTTGCGGTGGGTAGCAGTGCTGATGGATTTCGGTCTCATTTTGTCCTTGGTAGAGTTCAAGCACATGTCTGAGGTGTTCAGGCAACCATGCCAGCAACCTAGCCAAGGTTGGGTCTTGGTCGGCGAGCTGTGTGCTAGCCTTGATCTTCCTAGGCGTGTGGGAGCCACTGTCTCGAATCACTGGCAGGTGGACACAGGGCCTGCTTTAAGCCTTGGCTATCTTGGGGGTTCCTGTATAAAGGCAGCATTTGCAGATTTTGAAGAGGAAATAGTTTTTCCTCTGCTGCTCCTGATATTTTTGTCATGCTTTAACTGACGCAGACACGTTTTCTAGCAGACACTGCAGTTTCTTCTGTGGTGTTCTGTGAAGAAACTTCCCATCTTGGCAGTGGCAGGCTAGGGGCTGCTCCGTGCCTCCTTTTGTGGTTTTTTTTTTTTCTTTTAATGGAACCGGCAGAACCTTGAATGGACGTCATTTTCTTGTAGTAACATTTGTATAATAGGGACATTCCTGCAAGGGGAAGTGGAGCACTCACTGTGACCTCTGCTCATGGGGACAAGGGGCAGGTGACATCCAAAATGGTAGAGGGACGCTTTGTTCAGAGGAGCAGTAGACAAGCCCTTTCAGCCCCTCCTGGTCTCAGGGGATCAGTGTACTGTGGATGACTTCTTCCTCGGAGCAGGAGTGTGTGATGAGGGACTTTGTGTCTTCTGGGCATTTCTATCCTCTGGGCCCAAGCAGATATTTGCATAGAAGCTTAACATTATTAATGGAATTTCCCTTTAAGTCTCTAAGTCCAGATGTACTTAAGAAGGATAGGTCTATAGGCCCTTGCTGGAGGCCCCCATATTTTAGAGTTTAAAAAGATAATGTGGTACATGTACCAGGGTTCAGGGGAGCCCCTTTGATAAGTACATTTACATTTCACTTGATAGCCACATGATATGGGATAGAACTTTTCAGCTGGTGAAAGGCTTTACCAGAAAATGGGTTGGCAGAAAGGAATGTAAGGTCTTTGCATGTTTGAAGTGCTGGAATTATGGATGAGGAGTTACGGGTGTGAACAGCAGAGTATTCTCAGCTGGGCACCCCAGACACCTGTTGTGGCTTGTGTAGCATTGAGATTATTGTCTCCTGATACAAGGTAGTCTGGAAAGAATCACCAGTGGCCACCTTTGCTTACTAAACAGTCTTAAAAGGTAGTTTATAGCCTCAAGAATGAGCTGGAACAGTGAAGCCTTGGCTGGCCCAGGTGAGCAAATGCAAAGTTGGATATATGCCACATGGCCCTACTCCCACCCACTTGTGGCCCCTAACTGTGCCTTGTCACCTTGTCAGGGGCACGGGTAAAGGGACTTTCCTGGCTCTGGCTTAACTTACACCTTCTCCCACAATGTCTGCTCCAGTGCCTAAGACCACACTGCCCTTTTGTGTCAATTTGCCCGGAGACCCACACGTATCTTTCTTCTCCAACAAGGTCGTACAGTCCTTGAAAGACAGCAACTGAGTCGCGTGCTTGACCTGTGTCCCTTGTCATAGCTTCTGGGAGGGTAATAAGGGGAACTGAGTCAACCAGAAGTTCGGGGAGGCAGTGACTTCCCCGCCCAGCGCAGGGCTATACATAGCTTCCTATAAAGAAGCCCTACTTCAAACCATGTGGCTGCTCGCCTGCCACATGTCTGCCCTCCATGTTGGCTTGAGTGGCATGACATTTCTCCTTCTCTTCCCAATTCTCCCCTTCCTCCTAGTAGCTGCCGAGTTGATAACTTCCCTTTTAAACTCTAATAAAAATTGACTGTCCTCAAGCCAAAAAAAAAAAAATAAATAAAGAAGCAATTTTAGGATTAGATTGCCCATGGGTAAAGGCGCGTGCTTACAAATGTGAAGGCCTGAGTTCGAATCCCTAGATCCCAAATAAATGCCAACATGTAGGGCAAGTGGCTGTAATCCATGAGAGATTTTCTGGAAGCTCATGGGCCGGCTAGCCTGATAGATACACAGTGACAGAGCAGCAGAGAGAGCTTCCCAGGCGGGATGGAAGGCTGGCACCCAAGGCTGACCTGTGACCTCCATTTGTGTACACACTCAGAAATCCATCTTGGCCTCGTCTCCCTTGCCTCTCCTATACAGTTTGATGGAGAACTCCCTTTTCCTCCCAGGGTGCCCTGCCCACCTCGTCTTGGCTTATGGAGGGCACTCCGTAACTGATTGTAAATAGAGCAGTGAAGGGTCTCTCCTTAATTATTCCATATATTTATCTAGAAAGCATCAAGATGACTCTGCCTATTTAACTCAAATGAATTCTTTTTTTTTTAAAAAAGATTTCTTTATTTATTTTCTTTTATGTGTATGGGTATTTTGCCTGCATGCATGTACATGTGCACCATGTGTGTGCCTGTGCCATGGAGCTCCTGAAACTGGACTTACGGACAGTTGTGAGCCACCATATGGATGCTGGGAATCGAACCCAGGCCCTCTAAAGGAGCACCCAGTGTTCTTAACTACCATTTCTCCAGCCCCTCAAATGCATTTTAAGTGAATGAAGTCCTGGTGTTTTACTGAGTTAGCTTTAGGGTCCCTCGCCCTGCGGGTAGTTACTGCATAGGCCGGGGACATTTCGTGGCTTCTAGAAGTGTTTCTAAGAAGCAGTTGGAACTTAACAAGCTGTGCCTGGGTGGGAAGTGGGGTTTCCAGGGTGGGGAGAAGGAGAAGTGGAGCTTCTGCATTTTGCTCAGGTTTTATTTTTCCAAGCCTGACACCCCACTGCTTCTTCCTCTATTTGTAAGCTAGGGTATGGCAGCTGTCTTAGTTAGGGTTACTATCACTTCGATGAAACACCATGACCAAAAGCAAGTTGGGGAGGAAAGGGTTTATTTGGCTTACACTCCCAGATCATAGTCCTTCATTGGAGGAAGTCAGGGCAGGAACCTGGAGGCAGGAGCTGATGCAGAGGCCATGGAGGGGAGCTGCTTACTGGCTTGCTTCCCCATGGCTTGCTCAGCCTTATAGAACCCAGGACCAGCAGCCCAGGGATGGCACCACCCACTATGGGCTAGACCCTCCCCCATTGATCTCTAAATGAGAAAATGTCTTACAGCTGGATCTCACTGAGGCATTTCCTCAACTGAGACTCCTTCCTCTGATGACTCTAGCTTGTGTCAAATTGACACACAAAACCAGCTAATGCAGCAGCTAAATCATATGTGGGACACAGAGTCTGTCTGCCCCAAGACTGTTTTAGTTTAGAGTAGGGGAACCACCATCTGGGTCATAAGATGTGGCACTTAGGAAGAGATGCGTAGCAGGGTCCCTGATACAGGGGTTAATGTGACTGCGTCATCTCCTTTAAAGTTAATCGCCTACACTTGAATAAATGCGGTTTTTTAAGCATCTTTACAGAAGCCCTGCTGGGCTCCACCTTCTTGTTTAGGTGTTCATATTAATCCTACTTCATAGATGAGTACCTGGAGGCTCTGGTTTACTCTAAGTTGCAAGGTCCCCACCCCTGAGAGCCTGTAAATCAGACTGGGCTACATGCTTGTGCTTGCTGGCCCAAGAAGGGAAGGAATGTTGGGGTGTGTGCTACTCCAGCTGGCATCCTTACCCACCTTACCCATCCTTACGCCATCTAATAAGGAAATGCGGTGCTGGTGGGAAATGTCAGCCGTGATGACCTCAGGCTGCATCTGCTGGGTGACTTCCCCTTACCAGGAGCATATCAGAGGGCTGCTCTGTTTCGTTCCGGGTCCCATACAGATCTGGGGGAGTCTTCCTGGTGGTGTCTGTGGCATTTGGGACCTTTGCCTTTCCCTTCTCGTGTTGGGGAAGGATTTTCTGCTTTAGATCTTAGGTGCTTGTCCTACTCTTCTCCCCTTTGAGGAGGCTGAGACCCTAAGAAGGTAGGGAGCCCGGATTTAAACTCAGATCTTGCGGTGTGTTCTCTTTTTCGTCCTGCACCATGCTGCTGCCTGCGACTGCGGGGAGACAGGACGCTACCGCTGAACCTCAGGAGGGTGAAGGCGCTGGGAGGCACAGAGCAGCCTTTGCCCTATTCGTGCACACCAGCTTGGAGAGGAAGCCCCGCTGAGCTTCCTGTCAAGGCTTTAATGAGGAAAGACTTGATCAGTGAAGAGACTTAAAGCCAGCCAGTACATGAAAAGTGAGCAGGAGAGTTTTGGAACCTGCATTTCCCTGTTTACTCCTGCCCCCTAGAGGAGAGACCACGCCATAGCAAGAGAAAGGAGCCTTTTGGAATGAGATAGCCAGGGGACTGTCGCCCTGTTACCCGGGAGACGCCAGCCCTGGCAGCGCTGACAAGCTGCGTTCGGTCGCCAGTTAAGAACGCAATGACTAGTGAAAAGTGGAAAAAGGATGTTTATTCAGTGTGGCCACATTGGGGAGAAGAGCAAGCAGGTTCGGTGACCCTCCAATCCATCTTCAGGGTCCTGACATGAAGTTTAGGTTTAAATAAGAAGGCAGGAAGTATGCATAACTAAGCCGTCCTGGTCCAGGTCTGGTCCCGCCCACCCTCGTGGCTCCGCTCCAGTCTCTCCTGCAGATCTATCTGGTGGGTCACTAAGCTTCGGCCTGTTCCTTCTCCCAGCACAAGGTTCCGGGGTAATTCTAATTCCTTGGGGTCGGTCGTTTCGACAGTCTGTCCATGGGGAGGGGCAACATATGTCTCCAGGATGTCTTCATTCCTGCCAGGTGGTTACAGTCCTAACGTAGCTGCTCTTGTTTTCCTGTCCGGGACCCCACCTGGGTTTAGTTCTGGGCTTTAAACCTTGCTTACACCCCAGGGAGGTGGCTAGGGTGGGTCAGTGTGGCTCCTGTTAGTCTATCACCCAGATCTTTTAAGGGGAAGAGGGGTACCCAATAGGTTATCAGCAACCTGTGGATCAGACCCCCATTTCCTTAATAAGATGCTTGCTGATCGTGAACTTAATGATGTCTGCACTTTATATCTCTTCAGTGTTGGAGACTATAATTCATTTTTAGGAGAGGATAAAAGTATGTAGAATAGCGCCGGGTGGCGGTGGCGCACGCCTTTAATCCCAGCACTCGGGAGGCAGAGGCAGGCAGATCTCTGTGAGTTTGAGGCCAGCCTGGTCTGCAAAGGGAGTTCCAGGACAGGCACCAAAACTACATGGAGAAACCCTGTCTCAAAAAAACCAAAACCAAAACAAAAAAGTGTGTAGAATATAACTACAGTTAATAAAGATAATTATCCCTTCTTCTTACTAATAGGAGAGGGCAAAAGACTTACTTGGTGCATTATTTATCTAATAATGCATATAAGTCACTCTCTAATTAAGTGGCTTAAGCACACTATTCATTTGATTATATCTCTCAGTGTCTGTGGTTGGGACTTTAGGAACAGCGTAGATAGGCTGTTCTGGCTTTGGGTCTCTGATGAGGTGTCTAGAGTCAGCTGGGGCCAACTGAAGGCTTGACCTTTTGAAGAACCTTCCATTTGTTTTGGTTGACAAGACACCAGTTCTGTTCTTTCTTGGTTCGATTGCCTTGGGTGGGTTGCATCTGGGTCCTGTCAAATCTGCCGTTGTCTGTGGGCAGAGACAGCGGGGTAGCAGGGAATGTGCCTTTGAGAGAAGCCTGGGACACAAAAGTCACACATTTCATGTTTCCTTATTTCTGAATTGGGAGGCCTCAGAGGATCATCACCCAGACACGGATGCATATGGAGATAAGCCCATGCTGGGAGTCATATCCAGCGTCTCCGAGGTTCCTCTCCCTTCAGTGCTGTTTTCTGTTTGTTCTCTCCAGAATATCTACAAGAGACCTTCACTTCCCTGGGCTATCATGTCAAGGCTTTCTTGTTTCCCAGTGCGGATGATATAAGCCAGATTCTTCACCGATTTGCCCTTCTACCTACACACAAAGACTATGACAGCTTTGTATGTGTCCTAGTGAGCCGAGGAGGCTCCCAAAGCATGATGGGTGTGGACCAGGCTCACTCGGGATTCTCCTTGGATTGTGTCAAGAGGATGTTCATGGGGGACATGTGCCCTTCTCTAGTAGGGAAACCAAAGCTCTTCTTTATTCAGAACTATGAGGAGTTAGGCGGCCAGTCGGAAGACAGCAGCCTGGAGGTCGACGGGCCAGCAATAAAAGACTTGGACTCCAAGGCCCTGCATCCTGATTCCTGCCTGACTCACAGGGAAGCTGACATCTTCTGGAGCCTGTGCACAGCGGATGTGTCCCAGCTGGAGCAGCCCTCTAGCTCCTCCTCCGTGTACCTGTGGAACCTCTCCCAGCAGCTGAAGCAAGAGAGGTGAGCACTAACTACAGTCCGTGAGCTCCACCTTGATCCTTGACCATGCGTTTATCGCCCTGCTGCCAAAACGGAGATGGCCACCATGCTCTGTCTCCTGGCCTTCTGCAGGAAAGAGACTGTCCCTTCCCCCACTAGGGTTGCTTTGGGATGTGCTATAGACTCAGCTTATCAATACTTAGCATTATTCAGCTTGAAGTTTGAATGTATTTCTTTTTTCTTTCTTTTTTTTTTGGTTTTTCAAGACAGGGTTTCTCTGTGTAACAGCTCTAGGCATCCTGGAACTCACTCTGTAGACCAGGCTGGCCTCTAACTCAGAGATCTACCTGCCTCTGCCTCCCGAGTGCTGGGATTAAAGGCGTGCACCACCATGGCTCGGCTGCATGTATTTCTTATACTCTGCTAACATGACTTAAGCTTTACCATAGGTGTGTATTATAGAAAAAACACAGTATATGCACTGTAGGGGTCAATGCTGGCCTGCTTTCAGAAATGCTTCAACTGAGGGTCTTGGCTTCCACAGATAAAGGCACGACTGTAAATATTTTTGATGTTTATTAGGAGGGGTATTTCTCTAAAGGGTCCATTACTATCCTGGCTTCTAGTTAATTGAATGAAGCCAGGATGCTCTTCAAGTATAAGATTAATTGGCCTTTTTTATTTGCCCCCTAATTACAATTAGTAATAAGGTTTCTGAGCCACTACTCAGATGCTTGTATTCTGAGGAGCTCAGGTGCCTCTCCAGCTTTCTCTCCCCTGTCTCCTTAGTGGTGGCTCAGCTTAAGGTGTGCATGCCGGGAGCGATGCAGCATTCCAAAGGAGATGCTCCAGGGACCAGGGGTGGCACTGGCCTTTTACAGTCCTCCTGTCTCTGCATTTGTGATCCAGGTGGCTTATCACCTAGCTGGTGTGTTCGCAGTAAAATTCAGCTGTCTCTGTAGAAGGGGACTCTGGGGCCAGAGTGCTGCCAACTTGTTTGGATTGTTTACTAAGCAACTTTCAGATCGTTTAAAAAGGATAGGTTTCAAAGAATGCTCATATCCGCTGGCTCATCTCACCCCAGTGACAGTCTGTCTCCTCTTTGGCATTTGCATGGCATTCCAATGTACTTTTCTCTTTTCCTGTAGGAAACGCCCACTCGTGGATCTCCATGTTGAACTCATGGACAAAGTCTATGCCTGGAACAGCAGAGTCTCTTCTAAGGAGAAATATTATCTGAGCCTGCAGCACACTCTGAGAAAGAAACTCATTTTGTCTTCTACATGACAACCAAGAAGCCTTCCGGGTTCTTGGGGTGTATGTAGGCCAGGGTGGCTTGGAGCTGACAAGCCTCTTGATTGCTTGGGAAGGTCACACTTGCTCTGGTTCTAGGGTAAGCCCTGCTTCCTGATTCTCCTGTAAACAGGCAACAGCCATAACCCCTGCTGCTATGGACCACGCCACTCCCGCCACCATGCCTCCCCGCTAGGAGGCAAAGTAAACCTCTCCTCCTTAAGTTCCTGTGTCAGATGTTTCCACACAGTGTGGAGAATGAATGAATGGTAAGATATAATCCCATTGCTTCTTGGGTTTATCTACCGAGATATGCTAAATTATTGTAAGGGTGATAGTCTATGGTTCAAGATTTGAACTATGACACTTGAATGTAACTTAAGGAGGAGAATTACCTGAGTTCGTCATCTGATTGGGTAAATTGTTTCTATGTCTGGAGTGTCTGCATCTAGTCATTTGTTAATTTATTGGCTAATTAAGTTATTAGAAGTATCTATGGCTTCATGAACCCGGGGTTTCTGGCATTGTTGCTCTTGTACTTGCACATTTGTCTTGAATGTTTGTGAGCTAGCTTCACATGTATGTTATTTTTTCAAAAGCAGATTTTATTATGTATGTTTAAAGTGTATAACCCAAGGCTCTGGAATGCCCCGGCCAGCGGGGTCTTCAACGGGGACCTAAAGGGAGGGCTGGTGAATGAGAGGGACAAGAGACACAAAGAATGAGAGCAAGACAGGACGTCTGATCAAGCTCCAAAATTTTATTTTATTTTTTTCTTGAGGCATATATAGGCAGGGGCAAAGGGGGGTGCAAGCAGGAAAGGACTTAATTCTGGGCTGTTCGGCCAGCAGGAAATGTTGATCTGAGAGTTACCTATCTACTCCTGTCTAACTGCCTAATTGCCTAACTGCAGCTCATTCACCTGATACCTGAGAAGAGGTTCTGGTGCTCTGGAGACTTAAGCAAGGCCTAGAGCTAAGAAAAGAGAAGCCCAAATATGGCAGTATGTATGTCAAGGGTTGCTTAGGCTTATGGCTCCCGTCACTGGAACACATGTAGACAGAAAAATGGTTACCACAGTAATGATTTAGCTTGTCTATAATTTCATATAGTTAACTTGTTTGTGACAAAAGCAGAGTAAATCTATTTATTTATTGAACACCATTGAAACAAGCTTGGAATTGTAGAAAAAGTCCTGTCATACCAGGACTAGGCCGAGTGGGGTCAGAGGATCACAAATTCCCAGTCTGACTATGTAGTAACTACGGTGTGTGTAGAGGGGGGAGGGGAGGCGGTGGCGGAGAGGAGACAAATTATAACATAGTCTAATTTTTTTAGCTGCTATAAAATGTGTTGAGACAGCTAATAATCCAATTGAGGCCATAATCTAATTTAAGATTAGTAATCAAGCAGGCCATGGTAGCATATACTTTTAATCCCAGCACCTGGGAGGCAGAGGCAGGCAGATCTCTGAGTTCCAGGCCAGCCTGGTCTACAGAGTGAGTTCTAGGACAGAATCAAGAATACACAGAGAAACCCTGTCTTGAAAATCCAAAAACCAAACACACACACAAAAAAAAGAAAGAAAGAAAAAAAAAGAAAAAGGAGAGAGAGAGAGAGAGAGAGAGAGAGAGAGAACAGTAATCACTAGTAATCCCCCCCTCCTCCAGCATCTTCCAGGCAGAACAGCACTGAGGCACATGAACTCTCTCTCAGAGATTGGGGCAGCAGGCACAGGATCTACACAGATTCAAACCAGACAAAACCCCAGCACTGAGAAAGGGTATAGGTCAACACAAAATAGACTCCATTTTGTGTGTGTGTGTGTGTGTGTGTGTGTGTTGCTTTTTTTTGTCTTTCTTTCTTTCTTTCTTTCTTTCTTTCTTTCTTTCTTTCTTTCTTTCTTTCTTTCTTTCTTTCTTTCTTTCTTTCTTTCTTTCTTTCTTTTGAGAGAGAGAAGAACACAAAGTTGAGGGAGCAGGGAGGTGGTGGAGGGCCCGGGCAGATGAGGGAGGGAGAGAGAACGCCTCACAGGGGTGAAGTGTGAGGTTCTTTACCACCGTTTCTGAGCTGTGTTCTTTTAACATTGATGGCACCACTCGACGGCACTGTTTTGGAAGGGGCTGTTTTGGAAGGACTGAATCAAACTTTGAAACGTTGGTGGGGTTTGGCAGGTTGAGACAGAGAAGAGGAAATAAACCAAGAGAAGGAACAGACAGGAAGTATGTTTAGAAACCTTGGGTGTCACTTTTAGCTGGAGCAGATGTAAGTAGCAATGGGTGGTGAGCTAGGAGGGGGAAAGGGTCCAAGTGTGGAGAGCCTTGAAGGCCCCCAGCTTTTCCTTTTAGGTAACTGTCATATGAGATGTTTTCCTTAATTTAATAATGGGGTCTTTGATTCCTTCTATGGCACTTTTGTACACAACATTAGGTTTCTTGTTTTTCACTGAGTATGGTTCCCACTGAAATATTTTAGACATACTAAAAGGTAATGATGTATAGAAGACAATGAATACCCAGCTTGAATAAAATGTCCTAAATGTGTATAGGAGTATTCTTTAAAAAAAAAAAAGATTTACTTATTTATTTATTATGTACAGTATCCTGCCTGTATGTATGCCTGCAGGCCAGAAGAGGGCACAAGATCTCATTATGGATGGTTGTAAACCACCATATGGTTGCTGGGAATTGAACTCAGGACCTCTGGGAGAGCAGCCAGTGCTCTTAACCTCTGAGCCATTTCTCCATCCCGGTCCTGGTGTTTTATCACAGCAATAAAAAAGGAAGTAATACAGTAGTTATGGTCTTCATTGTTATTTCTTCCCATTTTATAGATGAGGATGATGAGGCACAGTAATATCAGCAGCTTGCCTAGAATCACCCTACACTAGGGTATGAGCTTAAGCTGTAAGGAGAGTCATGTCACGGCCCTGTGACACATGGGCTCTACAGAGTGTTGTTACCTGAACAGTGTTCATATAACAAGGGCTCATTGCTAATATTACATGAAAGAGGCATTTAAAACATGAAATAGTTTATCTAGTATGTTTACAGTAACTCTCTTTTGGGTAAAACCAGAAACATAGGTCAGAAAGAAGCCTTGTAAAATGGAATAGAAATGGCAGGACCGTGACAGATAACGTCTCTTGTTTCTGTTTTCTAAATGTTCATCAGTATCTGTCTGTGGTGGTTTGAAAGAAAATAGCTCTCAAAGGGAGTGGCACTATTAGGAGCTGTGGCCTTTGTGAAGGAGGTGTGGCCTTGTTGGATAAGTGCATCACTGTGGGGGTGGGCTTTTAGGTCTCTTTTGCTCAAGTTTCCCTCAGTGTGACACTCAGTCTACTTCCTGTTGACTTCTGATCAAGGTGTAGCCAGCACCGTGTCTGCCTGCACACCACCACGCTCCCCACCGTGACGATAATGGACTGAACTTGTGAACTGTAAGCCAGCCACCCCAATGAAGTGTTTCCCTTTATAAGAGTTGCTGTGGTCATGGTGTCTCTTCCCAGCAATGGAAACCCAACTAAGACAAGTTGGTACCAGAGACTGGAGTATTACTGTGATAGTCCTGACCATGTTTTTGTTTGGAGGAATTTGGGCTTTGGTACTTTGGGTTAGGAAAGCAGTGAAATGCTTTAAGTACTGCTTAATGGGCATACTAGTAGGAGCATGGAAGACAGTGGTGCTGAGGGTGACTTGCACTGCCTGGGGCTAGATCAAGAAGTTTCAGAGAATTTTAGTGTGTTGTCTAGAAATTGTTCTTGTGATATTTTGGTGAAGAATGTGGCTGCTTTTTGCCCTTGTCTGAAGAGTCTAACTAAGGCTAAAGTGAAAAACACAGAAAATACAACCAAGCTAAAGGTCATTTTTCCTATGTTATCATCTAGAAATTGTAATATTTTTGCATTTTGTGCATCTGTGATAAATTTTGAATTAATTTCGTAAAAGGTGTAAGATTGATATGCCGATTTTTTCATGCTTACTGGTTCATTCTGTACTATGTACTGAAAAAGAATCCTCTTATTGAATTGCTTTGGTCCTTTTCAAAGGTCAGTTGATTTTATTTGCAGGTTCTATTTGTAGACTTATTTGTGTTCTATTTATTCACTGATGTACTGTCTTGATTGCTGTGGCTTTATATTGTCTTGATGTACATCATACTGGGGGGATAGCAGATTTTGACTATAATGTGTTTTTTATTTTGGGGGGGATCGTTTTTCTTTTACATGTAGCTCAGATCTGGGATTTATGATATGTCTCTGCTTCCTGAGTGCTGGGATTCCAGGCATTATCACACTGTTTTCATTTTAAGAAATCTCTAAATCACATTAAAAAAAAACCTTTTTTTTTTAAAAAGAATGTCTGATGTCTTTAATATTTATCAACAGAGCACATGTATGACATAATATCTTTTTTGTCTTCTCTTCATTTATAGGGCCATATCTGCATGTTTTTATATGATATTAATGCCATTCACACTTTTTCACTATTTAAGCAAAGGGATAAACAAAACAAAACAAAATAAAAACCTATACTGGGTTGCCTTGCCCATCCTTAATACCAGGGGAGGTGCTTAGTCTTACTGCAACTTGATATGCCATGCTTTGTTGATATCCATGGGAGGTCTGCCCCTTTCTGGACAGAAACAGAGGAGGAGTGGATTAAGGGGTGGGTGGAGAGGAGGTGGGGGAGGGAATGGGAGAGAGGAGGGAGGGGAAACTGTGGTTGGGATGTTGAAAAAAAGAATTATTTAAAAAAAAAAACCAAAAACTGGAGAGATGGCTTGGTGGTTAAGAGCATGGCTGCTCTTCCAGAAGACCCAGGTTCAATTCCCAGCAACCACATGGCAGCTCACAACTGTGTATAATTCAAGTTCCAGTGGATCTGACTCCCTCACAAGACATGCAGGCCAAACACCAATGCATATAAAAATAAAATTAAAAAAAAGCTCTCTCTCTCTCTCCCATATATATGTTGTTTTTCTTTAATCACAGGACTGAAGAGTCATTTTGGATATTTGAACTCTGGGAAACTTTTTGTGTATAATGTTTACATTTGCCTCAATGAACCTCGTGGGTTAAGCAAGCTTTACAGAGCAGTTCTCATTTGGATTTTCGGTTGTTGTTTTTTTTTTTTCCTCGTTTTTTCCTGACTCTGCTGCCCCCACTTCCCGTGTGCGGTGATTACAGACAGCTTGCACCACCTGGCTAGTTTAAGACCGGCAAGTACTCTACCACATGAGCCCATCTTCAGCCTCGATCTTTCTTTCCTAAAATCTATTCTTTTTTTTTTTTTTTTTTTTTGGTTTTTCGAGACAGGGTTTCTTCGTGTAGCTTTGCGCCTTTCCTGGAACTCACTTGGTAGTCCAGGCTGGCCTCGAACTCACAGAGATCCGCCTGGCTCTGCCTCCCGAGTGCTGGGATTAAAGGCGTGCGCCACCACCGCCCGGCCCCTAAAATCTATTCTTATTAGCTTCTATTTACTGTGCCAAGTATGACTTTCCTCGTGATACTTCTATAGGTGTGTATAATGTCTCCATCCCCACAGGACCCACCCAGATACTCCCCCTGCTCTCTGCCCAGATCTCTCATAGTTTCCTTCTTCCTTGCCCTCTCCCAGATTTCACATATGAGAGAAAACACGATGAGCTGGGCTTTTTGAGTCTGGCTTATTTTGATTAACACGATGATTTCCAATTCCATCCATTTCACTGTAAGTGACATAGTTTTGTTCTTTATGTCTAAAATAAACCACCATTATAGAATACTCTCTTTACTCATTTATCTACTGGTGGGGACCTCGGCTGATAAACATGAATGTGGAGAGATTTCTACAGTAAACTGAGTTTCATTCTTTTGGCTATGTCTTCTGAAGTGGTATGGATAAATTATATAATTTTCTTTTTCCTTCTTCTTCTTCTTCTTCTTCTTCTTCTTCTTCTTTTCTTCTTCTTTTTGGTTTTTCAAGACAGGATTTCTCTGGGTAGCCCTGGCTATACTAGAGCATACTTTGTTTGTTTGGTTTTTTTTTTTTTTTTTTTTGGTTTTTCGAGACAGGGTTTCTCTGTGTAGCTTTGCTCCTTTTCCTGGAACTCACTCTGTAGCCCAGGCTGGCCTCGAACTCACAGAGATCCGCCTGGCTCTGCCTCCCAAGTGCTGGGATTAAAGGCGTGCGCCACCACCGCCCGGCTAGAACATACTTTGTAGACCAGCCTGGCCTCAAACGCAGAGATCTGCCTGCTTCTGCCTCCCAAACACTGGGATAAAAGGCATGTGCCACCACCGAGTAGTGATTCTATTTTCAATCTTAAAAATGTTTTGTGTGAGGCTCTTTTGTTTCCATGTATATCAGTGCATTCCATGCATACTTGGTGCCTTTGGAGGCCGTAAGATGGTGTCAAGATTCCCAGGGACTTATAGGTAGTTGTGAGCCATCATGTGAGGGCTGCAAATTGAAGCTGGGTCCTCTGGAAGAGCAGCCAGTGCTCTGAACCACTCTCCAGTCCATAGTTTCAATTTTTTTTTTTTGAGGGAAGTCACTCCATACTGATTTCCATTACCATCAGTCATGTTTAAAGGTTCTTGTTTCCCTATGAGAGCTATTCTAACTAAATGAGAGAGAACCTCAGTAGTTTTGATTGACACTTCCTTGATGGCTAAAGATGTTGAACGTGTTTTCATGTATTCATTGATCATTTGCCCATCTTCAGTTGAAAAGTGCCTATGAATTGATCAGAGGATTTGTTCTTATTAACTTTTGAATTCATTTTATATTTTGGTTATTAATTCCCTCTTGGATGAGTAGCTGGCATCGTTCCCCCCCCCCCCCCCCCATAATATGTGGTCTCTTCACTCTGCCCTTCCATTTGCTGTGCATAAGGCTTTTAATTTGATAAAACACTACTGAAAAAGTCTTGCTAGTATTTTCCAAGCTACTGGAGTCCTACTCGAGAAGCTTTTGCCTATGTTTACATCTTAAGGTTCCCCCTATATTTTCCTTTAGCAGTTTCAAGTTTTCAGGTCTTGGCCAGACAGTGGTGTACACCTTTAATCCCAGCACTCGGGAGGCAGAGCCAGGTAGAACTCTGTGAGTTCAAGGCCAGCCTGAGATCCTTGACAGGCTGCTGTAGATATTGCTCTGTATAAATAAAACGCTGATTGGCCAGTAGCCAGGCAGGAAGTATAGGCGGGACAAGCAGAGAAGAGAAATTCTGGGAGGTGGAAGGCTGAGGCAGAGAGACACTGCCAGCCGCCGCCATGACAAGCAACATGTAAAGATACCGGTAAGCCACAAGCCATGTGGCAACTTGTAGACTAATAGAAATGGGTTAATTTAAGATAGAAGAACTAGATAACAAAAAGCCTGCCACAGCCATACAGTTTGTAAACAATATAAGTCTCAGTGTGTTTACTTGGTTGGGTCTAAGCGGCTGCGGGACTGGCAGGTGAGAGAGATTTGTCCTGACTGTGGGCCAGGCAGGACTGGAGAAAAATTCAGCTACAACAGGCACCAAAACTACACAGAAAAACCTTGTCTCAAAAAACCAAAAAAAAAAAAAAATTAATTAATTAAAAAAAATTTCAGGTCTTGCATTAAGATCCATTTTGAAGCAATTTTTTTATAGAGTGAGAGATAAGGATCTAGTTTCATAATTTTACATGTGGACATCATTTTTCCTAGCAACATTTGTTGAAAAGGCTCTTTAATGTTTTATATTTTAATTAATTATTTTACATCCTAGGTGCAGTTTCCCCTCCGTCCTCTCCTCCCAACCCCTCCCCCACACCCCCATCCCACACCCCCACACCCCCTTCGCACCCCTCAATCCACTCCTCCCTTTGGATGTCAACAAAACATGGCATATTAGGGTACAGTAAGACTAAGCACCTCCTCGTGGATTAAGGCTGGGCAAGGTGGCCCAGTATGAGGAGTATAGTTCCAAAAGCCAGCCAAAGTGTTAGGGACAGCCCCTGTTCCCACTGCTTGGAGTCCCACAAGAGTGCTAAGCTACACAAGTGTCACATATATACAGAGTGCCTAGGTCAGTCCATGTAGGAGGTTGTCGGTTCAGTCTCTGTGAACCCCCATGAGCCCAGGTTAGTTGATCTGTAGGTTTTCTTGTGGTATCCTTGACTCCTCTGGCTCCTACAATCTTTTCTCCTCTTCTGCAGGATTCCCCGAGCTCTTCCTAATGTTTGGCTGTGGGTCTCTGTGCCTACGGCTCAGGGAGCATCACTGGGAAGGAAGCAGAAAGATTATAAAAGCCAGAGGCCTTGAAAGTCTGCTATGAGATTATGTTTCCTAGAAAGGACAAGGAAGCTGCAGCCATGATACTGTAAAAATATGGCTGCCCAAACAAGACCCCAAAATGACAACATCAGGAGATATGCTCACATGGAAAGGGGGAATCTCACAGGGCCCCAACCCTGACAAAGAACTACAGGCCACCCAATGCCAAGTCAGCCCTGAAATTATGTACATACGAGTAACTAAGCCAACTCAATGGATTGTCGCTACATATTTGTGTGTTTGTATGTATGCAGCAGTAATGATTGAAGAGAGAGAGGCCATGAATTTGAGGGAGAGTAAGCAGGAGGGAACATGGGAGGGATTGGGGGAGGAAAGGCAAAGGAATAAATGATGTAACTGTATTTTAATTTAAAATATATAGCCGGGCAGTGGTGGTACATGCCTTTAATCCCAGCACTCGAGAGGCAGAGCCAGGCGGATCTCTGTGAGTTCGAGGCCAGCCTGGTCTACAGAGTGAGTTCCAGGATAGGCTCCAAAGCTACAGAGAAACCCTGTCTCAAAAAACCAAATAAATAAATAAATTATATATATATATATATATATATATATACACATATACACATACATATATACACACACACACACATATATATATACATATATATACTTTATCCTTTCCTATCAAAATTTGTTTTATTTCTTTTTTCTTGTCTTTTTTTTTAAATAGATCAGGCCCCATAAATTGGCCATTAAGAAAAAGATTTATTTATTTATTTATTATGTAGACAGCGTTGTGGCATGTATGCAGGCCAGAAGAGAGCACTCAATCTCATTTACAGATGGTTGTGAGCCACCATGTGGTTGCTGGGAATTGAACTCAGGACCTCTGGAAGAGCAGCCAGTGCTCTTAACCTCTGAGCCATCTCTCCAGTTCTTTTTTTTGTCTTATTGCTTTAGCTGAGATGGAGAGTAATGTATAGGGTATTAACAAGGATGGACAGAAAGGACATTGATCTTGGAGGCCATGTGCTCACTTCCCCCCATTCAGGAGGATGTTGACTATCAGTTTGTTGCACGCAGCTTTTATTGTGCTGAGGTTTTATTACAGCAATAGAAAGTCTAAGACAACTAGTCGAGGCGAAAGAGACCTCTGAAGAACGCCGGGATAGCGGCGTGGTCTGTAGGGCTCCGGGCGGGCGGGGGACTCAAGGAGGGAACAGAATGGGAAGAAGACTTGTGTCGGGCGCACCAATGCCGGGCACAGAACTGGATGAACATGCAGCTTATCCC